GCCTTCCTGCTCCTCTGATGCTGCTTGGCCTGCTGTGTTCATCCAGCTCTACACCTTGGTATCTCAGATTCTCCAGCATCTGCAGTTCCTACTATCTCTGTAAATATTTAGTCGTTCTGTTAACTTAGGCATTGTTGGTAAGGCTAGATTTATGAACAGTCCCAATTGCCCTTGAGGTGGTGGTGTGTTACCTTCGTTGACCTCTGCACTCTGACGTAGCAGTTTAGTTAGTGAGTGGCTCACTTGGTCTTTTATGGTGTCAGTCAAGAGTCAACCATATTGCTGTGCATCTCGAGGTTCACATAGTCTAGCCTTTGAGAAGACTGGCTAAGTTTCTTTGCTGAAGGACATCAGTGAACCAAATGGGTTTTTACAACAGTCTGTTAAGTTTCAAGGTCATCGTAATTGATGCTAGCTTTTTATTCTAGATGTATTTAACTGCCTGGAATTAAATTCTCCAACAATCATGGGGTTTTGAACTCATATCTCCAAGCTTTTAGACTCCGCTGGTAGATTACTAGTTCAGTAATATAACCATTAGGGTACAGTACACAACAGATATTGAAAAAGAACATAAGAACATAAGAACTAGGAGCAGGAGTAGGCCATCCGGCCCCTCGAGCCTGCCCCGCCACTTAATAAGATCATGGCTGATATTTTTGAGACTCAGCTCCACTTACTTGTCTGCTCACCATAACCCTTAATTCCTTTACTGTTCAAAAATTTATCTAGCCTTGCTTAAAAACGTTCAGCGAGATAGCTTCAACTGCTTCACTGGGCAGGGAATTCCACAGATTCACACCCCTTTGGATGAAGAAGTTCCTCCTGACCTCAGTTCTCTATCTGCTTCCCTTTATTTTGAGGCTGTGCCCCCTAGTCCTAGTTTCACCTGCTAGTGGAAACAACCCCCCTGCCTCCACCTTATCTAAGAAGGGTACTTATAGCAGTCCTGTACATATCTGAGCAATTGTACATTCCTTCCCCACATACACAGCTCAACTACAACTCCAGGACAATGCTGAAGTAGCCCACAGTCGTGTATTAAATGGTTGTAAATTTGATTGACAGTTTAGTAAGCTGAAACCCCCTCCCCGCACACCCTACTCCTATTAATAAGTGTGTCACTACTGGTATCAGTAATTGTGAATCTTAGAGAATTGTTTGCTCTGTTCACTTCTCATTTTGTTACTTCGTACAAAATAAATCAGGTGCTGATTGGATGCCTTTTTGGATTGGCTAGGTTTTAAGATGGATCTTAAATGAAGAGAGAGATTTTAAACAAGGAATTCCAGAGGTTGGGGATCCAATGCTTGGATGCAGAAAGCAGGGGATGTGTAGAAGATCAGAATTGGAGGAACTCCGAGTTCATGAATGATGACAGGATTTACGAGAGATAGGGAGGGGCTACTGAGAGATACTTTGAAATTCCAGTCAGTGACAGAACACACATATTACATGAACGGTATATTATAACAGAGAATTAAGCATGGAATTTTGCAGTTTGATTGGAGGAGATTGAGATTATAGTACAGACATTACTATAAAATACCAAAAATCGTGAAACATTTAATCTCCCCTGATTTGATCCAAAATAAAATTGACTGAATCCATGTGCTAAGTAGAAAAACAGCCTACTTAGCATTTGGAGGGATGGATGTTTTGCAGTCTGAAGTGTGGAGTGTGAAAGCTACATCCAGAATCATATTAGTAACAAATTAGAATGTATTATTTAATGTTTCTCTTTGTGAACTCTTGCAGTTGTACATAAGAAATTTACTGACAGGATCAGGGTAAACAACAAGCAATGGATATTAATCAAACTAACCTTGAAAACATTCAAGGGTAAGAGAAAGATTAATATGTGACAATTCTCTTGTTACCATGGTGATTTGTAGCAGGTTACACAGCGAACAAGATTCTGTCATCAGTGAGCAGTCAGGAAATCTTGACTCGGATACAGGCACTCCACAGAAGGCAACTGCACAGCAGAAAATTACAAAAGAGGGAACAAGGAAGAAAAATGGTGAGATGAGCTTTTTTTAATGCAACCATATCTGCTCCTACAGCAAACACTTTGCAAAAAATCACAAACGTGCAGAAAATACAACTCTCGCAATGGACAACATGATTTTGATCTGAACATAAATTCCTGTGCCTCAAGAAACAACTTATGCAGCGTAAGCAGGATCTATTCAGAGGTTTCTTTGCTGGTGCATAAAAAATTATGAACTATTTCTGGATAAAATTACTTGTTTTTCAGTTGCCTCACATCTCCCCTTCCCCATCCATCAATTTTGTAATACTCCAGCTCAGAATTACAGTGTAGATGAGGAAAATCTTGTTCAAGTTAGACTGATCTAATTAAAACAGAAATTTGGAACAAATTAAAACTATATTTTAACTGCCTCACCCTCCTACATTTCCTACCTTTTGCCTGAGTTTTGATCTTCATGTATACATTATATAGAGGTAGAAGCAACAGAAAAGATGCAGCAAAATTATACAAGAATGATACTTGCACTGAAAAGTTACAATTATCAGGTTAAATAAATCAGATTGCACTTCTTTACTTTAGAGGCCTGGATGGTCTTTTAGATTATGAAAGACCTTGTCATGGTAGGGAAGGATTGAAGCTTATCAAAGCAGTCCATAAATATGAAACATCCCAAGGTGCTCTGTGGAGATATTACAAAACAAAATTATCACAGGTCCTTCAGCCTTGTTGGGGCAAAATTCTGGAACTCCTACCCTATTATTAAATGGACTGTGGCGGTTCAAGAAAGCGATTGACTGCGACCTTCTCACAAGCAATTAGTGATTGGAATAAATGCTGGCCAGCTGACATTAAGGGTGTCCCAAAATGGCACATTACAAATGGAGACAACAAAGTGTGGAGCTCGAGGAACTCAGCAGGCCAGGCAGCATCAGAGGAGCAGGAAAGCCGATGCTTTGGGTTAGGACCTTTTTTCAGAAATGATTTCTGAGGAAGGGTCCCGACCCGAAGCGTCAGCTTTCCTGCTCCTCTGATGCAGCCTGGCCTGCTGAGTTCCTCCAGCTCCACACTTTGTTGTCTCTGGCTCCAGCATCTGCACTTCTTGACATCTCAGTGATTCATAACAAATGGAGTCCTTTTTGAAGTACAGTCACTATTCGAGGCTGTGCAGTGAGGTTATATAACACACCATAGTTTTGGTCTAGAAAATAATGTAAAATTTTACTTTCAATGTTTAGATGTCGTTTGAAATTCTCATATTTACTCTATTTACAGTACAGTGTGCAAGTCTGCTGTCTACAGTGTACCAGATGCTGTGTGTTGTCAGGGAGGAATAAATGTTAAGGGTTGAGATGAGGTTATAAATGGATAGCCTAAGTGTTTAATCATTGTCACTTCAGCCCTGAGCTACTGATATACTTGAATTACTCTCTTCCTTTCCACATTCACAGAGGTGTGATGTAAGTGCAAGCTGTTTCTTTTTAAAAGTGGGACTTGGGTGAATCACAGCATTCGCTACCTGATGGTATAGTTTCAGAGAATATTATTGCACAGGGGGTTGTACTGCTGTCTTGTGCAGGGAAATAGCACTTACCTGACAGTAATATCATTGTAGAGTCAGTCAGAGGCAGGAGATCTATCAAACAACAACAACCAGTTGTACTTATAGAACATCTTCAGCATTGTAAAATGTCCCAAGATGTAATAGATGAGTTAAGAACAACCTTTTACCCAAGCCACATGAGGTATTACAGCAGGTGACAAAAAGCTTAGCTAAAGGAGAGGGAAGGAGAGTGTTATTGTAGGAGAGATAGATTAAGAAGTAGAGAAGCTTAGGGCATGCAAAATCAAAAGCACGCCTGATACTTAAAATTGTTTACTTCCTTTGTAATTTAAGCAACTCTAATTATCATCACAGAAGTCAACATTTGCTTTCCTTTCTGTAGCAGTTGGAAGTCAAGTTGAGAATATCACAGTACAGTCGTGTTTCACCTAATGAAACCACAAGTGTTTATATAGTGCCCTTTGGGAGCTCAGTATGTCTCAAAAGCTGTGTAGCCAATGAAGTATTTTTCAAGTCAAGTAAAGTGGGAATGTATATAATGGTGTAAGGGATAGACACTCAGCAAATGTCCACCATCCAGCAATGTGCTAATAACTGATAAGTCATTTTTCTAGTCAAAAGATAAATATTTGCCCAGGGCACCAGGGAGAGCTCCCCAGTCTTTGTCTAAAATAATGCTGTGGGATTTTATTTTTGTTATGTCTACCTGAGGAGTAGAAAGGACATTAGTGTTTAACATACCATTTGCAAGATGAAACTTCCTCCAGTGCGGCATGCCCTTATAACTACGCTGGAGTCTCAGCACAGATTTTGTCCTTGAATCTTTATATTCTGTGTTCACATGTCAGGAGTGAAATGTGAATCCACCAACTCAAGGTGAGAATGCCACAGATTGAACTAAGGATAACACTGTATTCATCAGCAAGTGTGCACCATGCTTTTTGCTATTTTCAGTTTCATTTTCAATTTGCCCAAAGGTGGGCATTATTGAGTCAATTTGGGGAGCACAAACCGCACACCAGGAACTTAAACTAAGATTCAGGCCATTGTGACAGACAGGTTTGAGGGGAAATCCTTCTGCTGTAGTTTTGCCTGTAGTGCAACCTAGAAGCGTAAGGTCTCCAGATCCAATAGCCCACAACCTGCTACAGGAAAGATGCTGTATTGAGCTGGTGATCTTTGCCTGTATTTGAGGGCAGCTCCATCACTGGTAAAATGGCAAAGACCTCAAAATTGCCATTAACTGGGTGCCTATACATTGCAGATTAGCTGCTTCCCTCCATTCAGTAAAAACATGGATGATCTATATAGATGCACATTAGTCCCAAATCTCTCGAATTCCTCACTTGGTGGCAGTCAATTGAGTTCAGTCCTAAAAATTTCAGTTGACTTGGTGTATATATGGGATATTGCAAGATTTTCTAGGTATTTGTAATGTTAGAATGAAAATGGATTGCTGTACCTTTTTATTTCTGTGGAAAGCCAATTTCCTAGATTATGACTTCATTGAATGCACCACATCAACTTGTTTTTACTTATTGTTGTTAACATAATAAAACATTTCACAAGAATGCAATCCGGTGCTAGTTCACATTAAGCTAAAGAAGGAGATAAATAGGAAAGGTAACTGATGGTTTGGAAAAAAGAATAAGTTGCAAAGAAAAAAGAAAAGGAAGGATAGAGAAGTTTAGGGAGGGAATTTCGGAGTTGAGGATTTAAGGTAACTGAGTCACTCAACCAGAAATAGTGGAAGGCAGGGTGCAGCGATGTATCAGAGGGCAGAATTGACAGTATGCAATGTCTTTATAGTGATGTAGGGCTGAAGGAGGTAACCTTCTCAATTCAGTTTATTTTCCATTCCACTATATATCTTTCAGTGACCAATTCAATGAATGAATTGGGCATGTTTACCAAAGGCAATGCCAGCAACTCCTCCATTTTTTATGTTAAAGGATGATTTTGCAACTAGTTGCCCTCATAACTTCTGATTATTGTCTGCACAATGAGCGCAGTCCTTTTCATTAAGTTATATTTCAGCAGATTCGGCTGTCTAATATATTTTTAAATTAAGTAATAACAGTGTCACATTAAATAAAGGACAAAGGATGAATCTTTAAGTTCCTCAAAGAATCATAGAGCAAGAACTATTTACTGCATTGTGCCTGTGACAGCTCTTTTTACAGAGCTGTCCAATTAGTCCCACTTGCCAGCTCATTTTTCAGTGTAGAGATTTTATTTTGTTATTTTTGTGTATTTATGCAGTGTCCCCTTGGAAAGTTACTAATGAATCTGCTTCTACTCTTCGTCCAGTGCATTTATGACCTTTTCACAAGTTGGGAATGGTGTGTGTGATAATCCGATGATGGATGGGGTCAGGGACATTCTAGAAAGACTCCATGCCAGAGTTTCAGTTGCTGGTGGGATTGAGATCCGATGTGGGAAAACGTTGAAAATCGTGGTCCCAGAGGTCAGCTTGGGATTGTGCCACCTCTAGGAGATTTTTGGATTTCCAGGGGATGGTGGGGGGATTGTGGAAGGAGTTGCTACACTTTTATAAAGCAAATTACTGGAAGTCCATGTAAGTCATGTTTACGCTGCAGTGGGGGAAGGTGTTTATGGATGCGCTGGAATCAGGGAGCATGTACAGTGAGAGATTCAGCTGATAACAGGTTGTTGATTGGTCTGTAGAATTGTGACCAGTCATGAATGCCAAAGGCCATCAGCCTAGTAACAACTATCTGATTGCCTCCTGGTTAGCTGAACAGCTTGTGGGTGTACACGACACTGGCAGAAACCTTCTGACAGCTTTGAGGAGCAGGTGGCACACCATTCTCTGTCGTAAAATACCCAAAGTCTGATGAAAGTCAGTTTATTTTCTCTCATCAGTTGTTGTAAACTGTGGCCTTTAACCAGTAAGCTTGAAACTTTGCAGTTAGTGAAGAACTGAAAAGGACCTGGAGAAAAAAGATTAAAGAACAAAAAGTCCTGACAAGCAAAAATATCATCTCAGCAAACTGTGTGGACTGGGGCCATTGAACTGCTTTCCAGTTTTTTTTTCCAACAACCATTTTCTTTGTCTGCCTGTATGTGTGTATAAGGATTTTTAGAAGGGGGTTAGTGTTTTAACTGTTAGAGTGATATGGCAACAGTTCATAGTTGTTTACCTGTACGTAGAATCTCTTTATTTGTTATAGATAGTATTTCTTAAGTACAGAAAAGTGGTACATGTTTTCTGTCAGCATGGGTACACCTGACAGGTAAATTGGATGGGTTCTTTGCGTACTTTGTTAAAATCTTTAATGTTTGTTTCAATGCCAACAATAGTAGAGCTTGATTTCCAGCTTATTCAGTATCTACTATAGAATAACTTGAAATTTCCACTGACTTAATATGGAAAATCCAAAGTTGTTGTCCTTCCTTCCCTTTCCAAACTGAACAGTCTAGTCACTGACTCATCCCTCTCCCTATATAAGGCTGCTTGCAACCGTGGTGTCATATTTGACTCTGAGATGAGCTTCCAAACATGTATTGTTGCCATCATCAAGACCACGCCAGAGTAATATTGGTTGATCAGGGTCAACTTGCCAGTCAATCAGCGTCCTGTTCTCCTATGGTATAAACTGTTGGGATCATTTGAAATTCAGCATTTTTGTGTTTGCCCTGATGATCACAGTGAACAAATTAACAAAACTATTAACAAACCAAATAAATCCCTTCTAACTACTAACTGTTCCCAAATAAACAAGATTCTAATGATATACAATTTCAAAAAATACAAGTCCCACTTATATCAAATAAAACCAGAATTTAGTCTCTCGAAATTACAGCCAGTTTACCTGTCTTCAGGAATGCCTTCTCTGTTAATTCTTCTGTCAGGAATATTAACTAGATGTGCTGTGGGTACTTTTGTTATTCAGATGGTGCTTTCTCTAAGACTTAGAGGAGTCTGTGAGAGCCAGCGGTTCTGTCTTGAGAGCTGAGGGCTGCTAGCTCTGGCGGATGGCATTTAGCTCTGCTGCCTTTTTCCAACTGCCCCTTTCTTTTATACTCTTGATGGCATATCAATATTTCTTACAATAGGATTGGTCCTATGTTGTCAAAACCATCAGATTTAAATTTAATTGGTTTTTGGTATCTCTGTGCCTGGTTCAAGTTCATTGGCTAAATTAAAAAACTTGTTGTCTTGGTAAAATCTGCTGCTTGGCCTGCTAACCATACAGCATTTTGATACACATGTTTCAATTCAGGTGCCCTCTATGTACTTGCAAACTTTCAAGCTGCTGCTCACAGATATCCATTTTAAATCCCTAAGCACAGAGAAAACACCTAATCTATTAAAGGGACCATGTATTACTTTCCCCACCTGGCATTTTATAAACACCAAGTTCTAACTTCCTGCCTCCCAATACTAGTACCCTATGCAATTTCACAACACTAGTATAATCTGTTAAATTAAGGTAAACTGCAGTTGATGTTGTTCCTAACATATTAAGTATATCTTCTGAGGCTGAGAACTTTGGCCTCCATTGTGTTACATTTACATTGACTTGGGCAGATTTGTGCTTAACAATTTCAGGGTGTCCCATGTCGCCCTACAGCCAAATAAGCTTTATTTTGAAGTGTAGCCACTGCTGTAATTTAGGTATCCAATTTGTTTGGAGCAAACTCCTACAAACAGCAATGATATAATCTGCTTTTTAGCAAAGCTGGTAGAGCGATAAATGTTGGCTTGGAAACAGAAAAGACCAGCTTGTTCTTTGTTACTTAATGTCATGGGATCTATCATCTCTATTCATTCGTGGAATGAGTGTTGCTGATGAGATCAGCATTTATGACCACTTGGAACTGCCTTTGTATAGTTTGTGGTGAGCCACATTCTTGAACTGTGCTGTCCATGTGGTGGGGATACATCCAGAATGCAGCTAGGGAGGGAATTCCAGAATTGTGATGCGTGGCAGTGAAATTGTAATAATGTAATTTCAAGTCAGGATGATGTCCAACCTGGATGGAAACATGTAAAAGGTGTCCCTGTGTGATTGCTGCCCTTATTTGTTAGGAGGTAGACACTGCAGGTTTGGAAGGTGTTTGGGAAGTTGCTGTACAGCTTCTTGTAGATAGTATACTTTGCTGCCACTGTATAACGGCACTGGAAGGAATTAAATTTTAAAGTAATGGATCAGGATATCAATCAGCTGCCCATCTAACTGAGATACCAGACTTTACCTTGGCTTGACATCTCATCTGAAAAAGTACAATTGTAACAGTGCAGCATGACCTCATTACCGCATTATGAGCACCAGCCTAGATTATGAGCTGATGCCTGTCTTCCCAAAATCTTCTGCCACAGAGTGCTACTAGCTAAGCTACATTGAATACTTGCGAAGATGCTGCATAAATGCAAATATCTGCTAATAACACAAGTACGAGTATCAACAGGCAGCTTGACTACAAACGCAAGCACTGAGTCACAATTGGCACTTTTTAATTTCATCTGTGGGATGAGGGTATGGCTCGTTGGGACAGCATTTATTGCCCATCCCTAGTTGCCCTTGAGAAGGTGGTGATGAGCTGCCTTCTTGAACTGTTGAAGTCTACTTGGTGTAGGTATCCTCACAGTGCCCTTAGGCCAGAAGGATTGCAGTGGCTCAAGATCGTTGAGATAGTAGAAGATGGGGCATACAGGACAGACATGGCGGGCCTTTTTTTTTGAGCTCCTTTGTACAAGCAATTGATTTGCTTTCTGGTAGCCTGAATGACCTTTGAGCATTAAGGATTTAAAGACAATTAGATGTGGACAATAAATGCTGACACCAACATTCCATGAATGGATTATATAGCAGAACGTGGTACAAGTGGGGATCCATCTCAAAACTGCAAACTGGTTAAAAACATTTGATGGTGTACTCTGTCATAATTGTTAATTTCTTATTTAAAATTAAGAAACATGGGTCATTTCAGCCGAAGCAGAAGTGCTTCTTATAGTTAAGAAGTTTGATTAGAATGAATTGACTGTGAGTGTGACAGGCAGTCAAGATAGATGCAGAGTTATTGATTACTTTTTGGCTTGCAGTGCCATTGATGAGTCACGTAGCTCAGAAACGTGTCAAAATACCATCCTGGGTGCAAATAATTCCTTGTTTTGAGAAGTGTTGAGTGTAGATGGCATGGTGGCTCAGTGCTTAGCACTGCTACCTCACAGCACCAGGGATGCAGGCTCGATTCTAGCCACGGGCAATTGTTTGTGTAGAGTTTGCATGTTCTGCATGGGTTTCCTCTGGGTGCTCCGGTTTCCTCCCACAGTCTAAAGATGTGCAGGGTAGGTGGATTGGTCATGCTAAATTGCCCATAGTGCCCAGGGATGTTTGGATTAAACAGGAGAATGGGTCTGGGTGGGATGCACTTCAGAGGGGTGGTGTGGACTTGTTGGGCCAAATGGCCTGTTTCCATACTGTAGGGATTCTATGATGATAGATATTAACTACAGTGATCTTACTGAATGAACAATTAATGCAGTCCTATTAGATTTCTTCCTTCACTATTAAACTTGCTTGAAGCAAAACATTTGTATCATAACTTCACTATAATAAACTCCTTCATACAGTACACTTTCCATCATAATGACACAGTGACAATTATGCAGTAACATATATCCAGTAATTGTTTTGTATTAAAAATAAAAATGGTTTCTTTTCTGTGCCGTTAGTGAATGACATATTGGACATGGTATATACAATTTACAGCACAGAAACAGGCCATTTAATAAAACAGGTCCACATGGGGAATTATGCTTCACATGAATCTCTTGCCTCTCTGTGGTAGCACACTCAAATTCAAGACCAAGTATTCTTGGAATTGTCATATAAGTTAAAGATTCTAAAAGACACAAAAAAGTTCTTGTATTAACCTCTCTTGTGGACCCAGATTAACAGAAAGCACAAACCAGGTGTCTGTACTCAAAACTAAAAATTACTGTTTATCTCAAGTAACTAGACTCCAGCTACAGGTAGACAGTTAAGAACTGTTGTCCCATAACTCTACTAATTAGAATATTTTCCCCTCATAACTATCCTCTTATGGACACACAGGAAGGAAAAGAAAATAACATGGGTGTTATGGACAGACAAGAAGATTGGGATGGCAGTTCAGTGGTTCCTGAGATAGTTCTTAATGGCTCTTATGTTGATCAGAATGCTGCTTCTCAGTCGTCCTTCTCCAGATGTTTCCACTGGTTTGCAAGTGGCGTAGGGTGGCTGGTTCACTAATGAAAGGTCTTTGACCTATCGATTAAAAGTCACGACTTAGAGCATCTGCTGAGGGAATGACAAATGGGTTTTCCTCAGGTTTAAAGTGGTTTTTAGAAGAAGTAGAGCTCCTGACCTGGTAGAGCTCTGATTGCAACTCACTATCTTGTTCATGTCCCGAAGCTGTTTATTTACTGGAGAACCAATAACATAATTGTAGACAGGCAGAAGACTTCTGTGATTGGTAACTGGCCACTAGACCATAAACCAATGCACTGCTTGTTGCCAACCAAAGCTCCATTAGTCCACAACCCTTCAGCTCCAGTTCCTCTGCATCAACAGCTGTGCAAACTGTATTCGCAATAAATATCAAGGTACATGCATTAGGACTACGCAGCAATCCTTGCCACCCTTGGTCCTTAAACAGGTCTTTTTTCTCATTTTAAACAATTTAAACAAAATAAGGCAAAAATAATAAGACACTATCTTAACAAAACGAAACATGGGTTTCTGTTACTAACAGTAGGTGTCTTTTTTTTTTCATTTGTAAGGTATGAATGATGCTAGCACAGCCAACATTTATTGATGATCCTTAGCTGCCTGTGAAAAGCCTAAGGTGACCTGCTTTTTAGAATCACTCCAGGCAATGTAGGGTAGTGCTATTAAGGAGGTGGTTCCAGGATTCTGACCCAGTGACAGTAAAGGAGTGGCTATACGTTTCCCCACCACTAGAATGTTCGGCTGTGCCTCCGTTGCTTGTTCTTTCTTGAGGGGTGGAATTCTGAATGTGTGATTTGTTAGGAAGCCTTGTCTCTTGGCATCGTAACAGTTGTTTTTCTCTTGCTCTGTTATGACCTGTCATTCTTAATGAAACATGATTCAGCACCAGTCAGTGATGAGGAGGAGAGTGCCACACTGTTTGAGCACGTCTCCAAGACATCGGATGATCCATTCGACACATCCTCCGGGTCTGTTCAGCTCCTCTCAATCAAGCCTCTGACAGCCCATCCTGGTTACCCTGCATCAGAAAGGAGTCCAGAGGCAGTGACATTAAATGGGGAGGTAAGCATGATGTTCTTGTTTACTTTTGAAGCGCGAGTTTTGTGACAGGACCACCCACTGTGAGAAATGACTTCAAATATCCTCTCCAATAAAAGGTAACTAAAGAACAACATTAAGACTATAGAAGAATCCAGAACATCTGGGTGCACTCTTAGAATTCAAGATCAGCTGATTGGAAATATTTCCAGAAAATTTGTGCACACCAAGAGGTTGTGAGATTAGAAGGTGCCCTATTCCAGTAGGTTGTGGCTACAGGAGGCATTTGAAAGGAAGATGGATAGTTACTTGTGTACGTATGAATACATGCATTAGGAGCAGGAATTAACCACTCACCTCCTCGAGAGTGCTTCTCCATTCACTATGTAGCTCAGTGGTTAGCATTGCTGCCTCACAGCACCAGGGACCCGCGTTTGATTCCATTCTCAGGTGTCTGTCTGTGTGGCATTTGCGTATTCCACCCCCCCTGCCCAGCCCTGTGTCTGTATGGGTTTCCTCTGGTTTCCTCCCACAGTCCAAAGATGTGCAGGCTAGGTGGATTGGCCATGCTAAATTGCCCCATAGTATTCAGGGAAGTGTAGATTAGGTGGGTTATAGGGGGATGGGTCTGGGTGGGATGCTGTGAGGGTTAGTGTGGACTTGTTGGGCAGAAGGGCCTGTTACCACACTGTAGGGATTCTATCATTTTATCATTTAAGATGATGTTTGATCTGATAACTCCACTTTCCTGCCTATTCCTTGCTTGTCAAGAACCTATTTACCTCTGCCTTAAAATATTCCAGGACTCTGCTTTCACCTCCTTTTGAGGATGAGAGATTCAAAGACCGTCTGTGAGAAAAAAAATTCTCCTTTAACTTGGTTTTAAATGAAGGTTTCTTTTTTAAACACTGACCCTGAGTTCTTATAAGAGAAACAGTCTTTCTACATGTGCCCTGTCAAAAACCCTCAGGATTTTCTGTTTCTATCAAGTATGTTCTTACACTTCCAAGTTCCAGAGAATACAAGCCTAACCTGTTCAATCTTTTCTTTTAAGACAAACCTCTCATTTCATGTATCAGTCTTGTAAACCTTCTCTAACCTGCTTCCAATATCTTTACTTCCTTCCCCAAATAAGGAAGGCCAGTACTGTATAAAGTACACCAGATGTTGTCTCACTAATGCCCTCAGTCATAACTTCTCTAATAAATAAAAAGGAAGTGTTGGACAAACTCAGTAGATCTGGCAGTATCTGTGGAGAGAGAAGCAAAGTTAATGTTTAAGTCTACATTCATATTCTTTGGCATTAACCTCTGACTTTTGTATTCAATTTCCCTCACAATAAATGATAATCTTTTCCTGATTACTTGCTGTCTCTGCATATTAACCATTTGCAATGCATTGTACTAGGACACCTGCTTCCCACTACTGTTCTGAGGAAGGGTCACTGAACCTGAAATGTTAATTCTGTTTTCTCCTTTACAGATGCTGCCAGACCTGCTGAGCTTTTCCAGCAACTTTGTTTTTGTTCCTGATTTACAGCATCCGCAGTTCTTTCGGTTCCCACTACACTTCACTGCTCTACAATCTTTCTCTTTAGATAATATGCTGCTTTTTTAAAAATTCTTGATGCCAGTGAGTGATTTCACATTTTCCCACTTTATTTTCTGGATCTTTGCCCATCACTTAACCTATATGTGTTATTTTCTATCTTCCTTATGTACTCTTCACAACTTATTCTCTGACCTATCTTTGCGTTATCAGCAAATTCAGCAATTATACCTTCCACGCCTTCATCTCAGTCATGTATACAATTGTAACTTGCCAGGCAGAAAATGATTCATTTATGCCAACTCATTGCTTCCTGCTAACCAGTAATCTTTCTTCCATGCCACTATTCTAGCTTTTACCCAAGAGCTTTCATTTCCCCTAGTAATCTCTTAAGTGCCCCCCCACCACCACCTATCAAATGACTTCTCAAAATCTAACTACAGTATGTCCAATGGTTTCCCTTTATCCACTGCAAGTAATCTGCCTGATTACTTTGATTTTCTCCAAGTGCCTTGCCGTAACGTCTTTCCTAATATCTTCTGACATCTTCCTACTGACAGATATTAAGCTAACTGTCCTGAAATTTACTGCACTTTGTCTCTCTCTTTTTGAATAATGGAATATATTTACAATTTTCTAAATTAAAGGAATCATCCCCAAACATATGGAATTTTAGGATGTTAAATCTATCAAGTATTCCACTAACCATTTCTTTAAAGCCCCTAGGATGAAGTCCATCAGGAACCAGGATCTGTAAACATGCAGCTCCAACAATTTGCTCAGTACCACTTCTCTGACGATTGTAATTTTCATGGGCTCCTCCCTCTCTGTTACTTTTCCTGATTTAGTTATTTCTAGGAAGTTACTTGTGTCCTTTATAGTGAAGACTTATGCAAAATACCTGTTCAGATCATTTGCCATTTCCCTGTTTTCCACTATGAATTCTCTAGACTCTCTTTCTCATTTACTTTGTTAACACTTGCCTTTTTGAATTATTTATAGAAAATCCTGTATCTGCTTTTACGTTTTTCACCATTTCCTCTTTCGTACTCTATTTCTCCCTCCTTTTCAATCTTCTAGCAGTTTTTTTTTGACATTCTGTCTAAATTTCTGACCTATCACCCATCTTTGCATAATGATATGCTTTTTCTGTAAGTTTGATACTATTTTTAACTTTTTTTTAGTGAACCATGGATGGTGTGTCCTCACCTTGGAATTTCTTTTTCCCATTGGAATAGATCTAATTTTTGCATTGTGAAATGTTCCTTCAAATTTCTGTCTCTATTGACCCAATTACCAGTTTACTTTCAGTAGTTCTGCTTTCATACTATCCTAATTGCCCTTGTTTAAACTGCTGGTCTCAAACCCAGTTCTCCGTCCCTCAAACTGAATGTAAAATTCATTATACAATCGTTGCGGCTACCTGGGATTGCCTTCACTATGAAGCCATTAATTAATTGTCTCTCAGTGCCAGGTCTCATCTTATCTGCTCAGAGATAGTAAGAACTGCCAATGCTGGAGTCAGAGATAACACTGTGTGGAGCTGGAGGAACACAGCAGGCCAGGCAGCATCAGAGGAGCAGGAAAGCTCACGTTTCAGGTCCAGGTCCTTCTTCAGAAATGGGGCAGAAGGGTCCGACCCAAAATGTCAGCTTTCCTGCTCTTCAGTTGGTGCTTGGCCTGCTGTGCTCCTCCAGCTCCACACTGTGTTATCTCACCTAATCTGCTGTCTGGTCTGTTGCAGAACATGTTGTTCTAAGAAACAATCTTGAACTCTTCCACTTGGCTTCCTTGGCCATCTGATGTTTTGTGTGGAGATTAATATTCCCCTTGATTTTGCCATACCTTTCCACCAAGCTTCCACTGTTTCTTCCTTTACATTCTATGCTACTGTGAGGTTACTATTAGAGAGCTTGAAAATTACTCTGAACAAGTTATCACTTGCCTTTCTGGTTTCTCTTCTCACCACACTGCTTCTGCGCTGTAGTTTGCTGAACTTAGGTTCTGTCTCCTTATTGTCCTCCATTAATTAATGGAGCCATCCCTCCACCTTTCCCAAGCTTTACATCTTTCCTAAATGTCACATAACCTTCAAAATTCAAGTCCCAACTTGTGTCATCCTCCAGCTGTGTTTCTGCAATGGCTATCAAATCATACTTATTTATTAATTATCAATAGCAGTTCATTTCAGAATAGACTCTCAAATATGAAAATAGAGAAAATGATAGGGAGGTAGACATAGACAGTGAAATAGAAAGAAAGAAATAGAGACCAAGAATGAAGGATCACACAATTTGAGAAAGAAACAGAATTCAAACAAGTAAATTGATAGGATATGATGGGCTGTTTTACATTGCACTGAATTTACTGCCATTATTGAATTCACAGAACAGTAAAATTAAGGAAGAGGGTGAGTTGGACGGAGCCTGATGAATTGCTTTTGTAGGTCAGCCACAGTTATTGGATAAGCAAGTGTAAGAAATGTATTAGTTTCTCTCCAAATCCCACAAGCAGCAGCAAGATCAATAACCAACAAATTTCTTTAATAAAATCTATTGAAGTTCTGTTAGATTGTTTCTTGCAGTATTTTGGGACTTTTCAAAGAAGTTATGAGACTTACATTAAAAAAAAAATTGGTTCTCGTCAGATTACTTCAGTAGAATTTCCAGGCGATATCTTAGCATTAGGTCAGGGGCTGGGAACTCTGTGGCAAGTAACTTAATTCCTGACTCCCTCAACCCGGCCCACCATCTAATGTGATGGAATAACCACCCCCACCCCCGACACACACACACACACACTTGCCTGATAGTGGCTCCAACAATGTTCAAAACTACATCCAGGACACAGCAGCTCGTTCACCACTTTAAACATTCACTCCCTCCACTACCTGCACACAATGCCTGCTCTGTGCACCAATGTAAGGTGCGCAGTCACAGCTCTCTAAACCTCCTTGGCCAGCTCCTTTACCATCTAATAGAACAGGGGCAGCAGATGCATGGGGATGTCGTCACTTGTAAATTTCCCCCTACAAGCCGCATAGCTTCCTGACTTGGAACTCCTTTCCTCACAGTTGCCACAGTTCAAGACAGTAGCTCATGACCACCTTGTCAAGGCTATTAGTGATGGGCAACAAATATTGGCCTTTGCAATGATGCGCACACTTTGTGAACGAATAAGAGAAGTAATGATTCGTGTACATTCATGAATCATAGATTTACTAAAGTATTTCTTTGTGTAGATGCTCATTTGAATGGTAAAGCTGTTTCAGCATGTAGGAGTCAAGGTTACTTCAGGCGTAGTTACAGAGAAAGAACTGAATTTCTTTTATGAAAGCAAAGCACTGAGAATGCTGGGAATCTGAAATAAGAACCACTTGAAAACTGAGCAGGTCAGGCAGCACCTATGGAGAGGAAGAGTTCAAGTTTCAGATTGCTGACCCTCATCAGAACTGAATTTCTTGTCATGTGCTGTCA